TAAGGGGAGAGATGGAGTTTCTAGGGGGATATCAGGGTGAGGAGCTGTAGCACTTCTCATGCTTGGGCTTCAATCCCTATTGTAATGCTCTGTGAGGGGAGAGTTTGCAGCTGATGGATGATTCCTGAAATGAGCTCTCCGGCTCCCACTGGTGGACAGGGCAGAGCTGGTTCCCTACCTGCTCCAGGGGAAGAGCTTTGTGTGAGGAAGAAGCCCAAGGAGCTTTCAATTGCTGGCCAGTCCCAGGTCTCTTCTGCATCTGGAAAATCTGCACCAAGACAAAAGGTCTTTGGTTGACAACGCATGGACCGAATGAGTATCACTGAGAGAAGCCCTTTCCTCAACATCATAAATGATGCATAAAATGGGGGCTTGATTTTCAATTTCTATTGTGGTAGCACAACTGAGTTTATGGTTGCACAGCACCAGGTGCTGCACAAAACCACAGAGATAGTCCTGATGTTGAGCTTATCCACTAAATACACAAAGGGTGGGAGACAACCTAAGCCAAAGAAGTAACTTGCTGTTTTAATAACTGGGCCCACAAATTTACCCTAATTGGCAGTATAATTACAAAAACTGTGAGAAAGTTTATAAGTGTTACAATATCCTACAACAATAAATGTCGATGGGAAAAGGTGCAAAATATAAACAAGACGACGGAATTAGTCCAAATAAAAAAGGCCTATAATGCAATTCAAGAACAGTGTTAAAATGATGGCTGTAAACAAGAGAAATGCGGAACTGGACATTAACGAACCAAACTGAATAAGTTATAATTTAGGCCTAACTGGAGGAAAACCCAGTGAGGGGCTGGGCTATTTTGCCTATTACTTCCTTTTGGGGTTTTTCAAAAGAAAACACTTTTGGGGGGAAGTAAAAGAGCCGGACTGAATGCAACCCTTACTGACTGAAAAAACAGCAACAGCAGGTGTGTGCCAACAACTGCTGCAGCGAGCGATACCATGATGTTGCCACCCTGAACCTCTTTTGGGACCTCAGATCATCTTCATCCTTATCCTAAGAGATCTCCTAACAAGACTGGACCAGAGAGAGGGAGCCGGAGGAGATTACCACTGTTTCCAGTTCTGGCTAACTCCCTAAAATCACCTGGAATGTGAGACGTTGTCCCCTTCTCTCCTCCCCCTGCCAAGCACCATGAGTTCTTTTCCTTCCCCAACTTATTTCTTCTCTTTCCTATTCTTCTCCCTTTGCTTTATATTAAATAAGAGTCTGGCTTAGGTGGCCAAAACTGCCATAGTTTGCAACATTGCTATAAGCCTGTGATCAAAGAAGGAGCCAAAAGCACTGCCCAGAACAGCCTAACGCTGGTACACATTTGCTAGATAGGTCTGATCAGACCATGTGCCATGCCTGTGTTTCTCCGTTGCAAGGCTGCAAGTAAGAGTCAGCCAGAGACGGAAGCTGCATCTTCTACCTTCGCTGTTCTTTTCTCTTCCCTCTTGTGTGCGTTTGTCTTGTTTTGTCTTCTAAAAAACAGC